GTCTGGATCTCCCTGGAGGTGATGGTTGACCTCTTGTTGTAGTGGGCCAGGCGGGAAGCCTCTCCGGCGATGCGCTCGAAGATGTCGTTGACAAAAGAGTTCATGATGCCCATGGCCTTGGAAGAAATACCGGTGTCGGGATGCACCTGCTTCAGCACCTTGTACACGTAGATAGCATAGCTCTCCTTCCTGGTCCTCTTACGCTTCTTTCCTCCTTTTCCAGCGGTCTTAGTAACCGCTTTCTTGGAGCCCTTCTTGGGCGCAGACTTCGCTGGTTCAGGCATAGTCAGAATACTGTTGCAACCACGAGTAATGGTGCATTTGTCTCACGTCCTCTTCATATACGGACGGTTTGCAAATGTGGTGTTAGAGGTGGGGATAATTTCATTGGATGCTCATAGCCCGCCTAATTAGCATTCAAATCCCATTGGCCCAATCTTTCTACGGCGTTAAAACATTCTCTAAACAAAAGATCTTTCAATGCGGACATTTTCTGACTGATACGTACGTTTCTATTCAAAAAGAATACACAAGATTTTTTGTAATACACATCATGCTACATACAAAATATGTCTACGTGTATTACTTTTATTGTAAAATGCGATAGGCTTTACGCTTGCCACATGGGATTAATAGTTAACAGATAAGGCACCAAGGGCATACAATTGGATAATGAAACTTGTTCTACAATCTTCCGAATTTAAACGCATGAACGATTTTTAGTATTGCCAACATCACTCATGTTCCCTACCCCCAACTCCAGAACAAGGAAAAATAGATCTAACGCTACGATCATAAGTGTGTAATATAGTAATAACGAGCCAAGTTGTAATTACTCAATGCATGTTTTCAGACGACGAAATCTGAGAATTATTTCTGAATGCTTTGTAACAGACAATGGGACAGAAGCTCTTTAGAGATGAAGTGGGCGGCTCTTAAAAGAGCCTTTGGATTTATTTGAGAAAGCAGGAACGTTTAGCCGCCGAATCCGTACAGGGTACGACCCTGACGCTTCAGAGCATAGACCACGTCCATGGCGGTGACAGTCTTCCTCTTGGCGTGCTCGGTGTAGGTCACAGCATCGCGGAT